ACGTGCCTTTAATAGAAATGCATCTTTTCATACGGACTACAAAATTAAAGAATATTACAAAATCAAGTGGGCGAGTTTTCCTTATATTTATTTAATTTTTCATATAAAAATTATAATGACCTGTTTTGGTTATATTTACTATTAATTGCAAAAGGTGCGCTCAGCAAAAATGGCGCGAATATTGATGGTCTTCACGCTTAAGTCAAGTAAAAGACCGCTTCTTAAACCAGAGAAGGTTTTTTCGAGTTAAATTTTGAGTTAAAAAGTCATAATTGAGAGATATAAACTGGCAATTCAGACGTTATTGCTCACAATTGCGAGTTTATATCACGCAATTCTGACTTTTTTTGTCAGAATTGTGCGATATAAACTCACAATTGCGAGTTATAAAGTCAGAATTGTGAGATATAAACTTGCAATTCTGAGAACATATCAGTCTTTCTCCCCCCTCAAAATTGGACTTATAAACTCGCAATTGATAAAAAGTCGCAATTACCTTTTTTCTTCTTCAATTCAGTGGCGGAAACGGGCTTTCATACCTTATATGCTATGGAGGCTCTCTCTCTCTTTTTTGATTCCTCAGTGTTTGTTAAACGTTCTGTAATTTAATAGTCATTATATAGCCTAATACAGTGTGTAGGCCATGCCTCATCTTATTCGTTTTTGTTAATAACGTTTTGTAAGCTAGTTTGTCATTGAATAGTGTTTTATTGCTGTTGTGCATTTTAATAAAAAATATTGAATCCATCTTTTTTTTTTTTAGTCTTAAAATGTGAAAGGTGTATAGATATAAGCAAAACAGACAATTATATTTTATTGTAAAACCTGACAAGATCGTGAAATCGAAAGTGAAAGCATCCCAAGCCCGGCTTATAACATGTCAAAAGAGGAACTCCCATTCACAAAATTCAAATCACAAATAATACTACTGATGAAAAAGAACGGGTTGAATCTTAACTACTTTCGTTTCCATATAACTATAAACTACGATAAAAGTCCATCAGCGTGCATTGATTAACAGCATGTTGTAGCACAAAAAAAAAACGTGCTCGTGCAGCCAACTGAGAAAGTTAATAGCAAAAGAGTGAACAGTGAGCGTCTGGAGCCTTGAATTGCCCAGCTCCCTCTGTCAATGATCTAGCACCTCCTCAGCACCTGCGTTCAAAATTCTCTGGCACCGCCCCTGGTACATCAATGTATTTTTGAAAAGCAAAAATTAAGTTTGTTCAACTCTAAACCCAGTCCCCAAGTAAACTAGGTTATTAAATAAAAAATTAGCAAAACGAGTTGCGCGGTGTCCCCACCACTTTTCAAAGCAAAGTTACGCCACTGGTAGTAATAGTTTTATAAGCCTTCATTATAGGTGACGTGTCTGGTCTTCACCTTGGCCAGAAACCCACTGTTAACCTTTGAATTGGTCACAGCTCACGGGTCTCTATGGTTTGAAATACACATTATGTTTTCTAGCCAGTGAGCCCCAAGAGAAACAATAGCAAAGTCTGTGTCAGCGAGATTACTCACTCATACGTAACAAAAGAGTAAGTGTATGACTTACTGATAGTCCTGATACTAACACCTCTGTGGACTCACAAAACAGAGGAGAACAAATTAAAGACATGAGAATATTTCATTTTAGAAAACATCACTTGATCTTAAGGTTCATAGAACCTAGTTCATAATCCAATACACGCTCCAAAATGAAAATTCTACTATCAAAAACGGATTTTCAGAAGTGAAACTTTTTGCTGACTTATTGCTTAATCATATTGAGGTGTTGCTTCCATTGTGACATTAGTCATCTGGCATGCTAAATTCTTTAGAAAAACAATAATTTTCCTGTTTCATCTGTGCTATTGAACTAAAAGAGCAGGTAGACTGTGTGAGGTTTTTGATGTGTGTGTTGCTAAACCTCTTACCAGGTGGTGTGCAGTTCTTTTCAGCATTGGGCCCAACCTGCACTTCATCAGTGTAGTTGCTGTCAATGTCAAAGTCCTGCAGCAGCCTGCGGCTTTCCCACCTCTCACTATCTTCAGCTGAGAGACCAGAGATGCCATAACCTGTAAAACACATAGAAAAAAATCATTGTCATTAACCACAGCTAGATTTACCTACAAAAGACTTATTTAGGTTAGAAAAGATATGACAAACTGTCATATTTGACACAAACTCTGAAATATTACAATCCCCATACAAGGGACCCACTTACAAAACATAAATCAATTTCACAACTTATAATAAATATATGACAAATATGTGTAAAGTATTGTCTAAAAAAATTTACTTTGTAAACTGCCACTTTTTCTGCTTCTTATCTGTCAGTATTATTTACACTAGCCTACCATTCGGGCTTAGTAATAGTTGTTTTGATGTTTTTGAAAGAAGACTTTTATTCTCATGCATTTATTAGATGAAAAATCTAGTAATACAGTATTGTGAAATATTCTTAAGTTTAAAATAGCTGGTTTCTATTTTAATATATTTTTAAAATGTATTTTATTCCAGTGATGGCAAAGCCATTACTCCAGTCTTCAATGTCACATGATATAATACTAACATGCTGCTCAAGAAACATTTCTTTTAAAAATGAATGTTGAAAAGAGTTGTGCTGCTTGCGTATTTATTTATGAAACCATTATATGTTTTTTCAGGGTTCTTTGTTGAATAGAAAAAATAGAAAGATAACTTTTTGTAGTAATGTAAAAATCTTTACTGTCACTTTTGATCAAATCAGCGCATTTACTGAGTATAAACATATGGCAAGTGCTAAGTGATATCCATGCTGACCATGCATTTTCACTTAAATTTAAAGCAAATAACTACTATATAAAAGAGAATGCAGATCAGATTGTATATTGAATGTAATTTGGACAGCACAAATACATAATGCACATATTCACATGGAGAAGACAGAGACAGTATGTTATGTGAGTGTGACAGTCATTTACATTTATTACATTTATTCTGAACATATAAAAATGACTGATGGCCACTGGAAATGCATGGGCCTTGAATGTCAAAGTAAGAATTACAAACTTTTTCCCAATCTATTATTATCCAGTGTTAATATACAAACTAAAATCCTCAACACAGCTGAGTCTCACACTCACGGCTCTAAGTTGGGCTCATCGCAGTGTTTTTTTGGGCAGGTTTGACCGGTCCAGCCCAGTATTACTGTGTGATATCTCCTATTCGCACTGCATTCACAGGGACACAGTGAGCCAGAATGTGTTACATGTTAAACTCTCATAGGCTCCACTTCTCATTTGTGTTACTGTGAGCAGCAGAGCCCCGGAAGTCAGTTGGCGAATATTCATGAGGGCCGTCTGTGGTGCGGAGTGAAGCCGAGGCGTAATAAAAGTGGCATCACGTGGCGAATGCTCCTGCGGCAGCGCCTCGGCCCGGGCTTGTCTGGTCTGGGAGGGGGTGATTATTCTGGCAGTGCTGTCATCTGGGTCGCTCTGTCCTCAAGCGTCTCTGCCCTTACTCCAATCCGCTCTACCGTCTTCCTGCGCAACTCCTTTCACTTACCGCTCCAGTCGCTATAAATAAAACCTCTATATTTATCAAAAAACAGCACTCATGGGGCTTCGGGGCTGTGGGGTGCATTATGACGTGACGCATTTTGACATTGTGATGTGACGCGAACGATGATACAGAACTGGGATACGGTTGTAAGGAGAGTGTCAGAATACCCTGTTCTTCTTCGGTACTGATAGGAAACGTGAGTTTGTCTTAACAAAAAGACAAAAAAGGAAAAACCGATCCAGACACTGACATTCCTAATGGAAACTGTTTAATAATTCATCGCCTCCTGAGATGTCAAAAGAATCATGTAGTGAAGTGCAGACGGTTGTGACACTTTTGGAAAATGTGACACCTTAGCATCTTCCTCATAGTAAAGAGACAGCAGCGATCTGTCCAGGACATGAGAGACTAGCAAGCGAAGCACGAAACTGAGCCACATAGACGTTTCATCGGTATATGATCCCTCCGTCTTTCAAAAGGGGAATTCATCATGCAGCTTATTTGAACACGCGGTCTCTGTTGTTTTAGCACACGATTCACTAAAGGAATTATGCAAATTAGGTAGCGGCACAAATGTGCTCACAAAATCTATGCTAAATGCAATTTTGCACGCTGCAATTCTTAATTTTGCAGGCCAGTTCTGAGTGTTGGGTTGTGGAGGATGCAGCAGGCTATGGCCAAAGTCCCTTTGAGGCTAGTCAGTAAAAGTCCCTTTCGAGGAAAGTAATTTCACTCAACAGCCATATTTGCAATGCCTCTTGGCAGCTATTTCTGGCATGCAAGACTAACTCCTATCTATCTCTATAGAGAATTACCAAAAGCTCAAACCTTGCCAAATTCACATTTAAATCATGTATTTTAAATCAGCTACAATATTGGCATGAACTATCCCTTAAATTTTAATCTTATGCTCAAATAGCATTTAAAAAGGCATATTTCAAGTTGGTCCAGCCAATGCGCATGTACAGTCCCAAGCATGTATCTCAGGACACTGACTGTTTCTATGGGAACTGGAGTTTCTAACAGCAGCTGCAGTGACACAATGGCTTTACCAGTTGGCGACAGTGGCGGCTCGTCGGGGGAGCCAGGGGAGTCACAGCTTCCTGGGATCCCAGACCAATACAATTAGTGTGCCTCCTCTATTTTAAAACCCACGAGCCACCACTGGTTGGCGACTGCCTCTTTTATTTAGGAGGCGGGACTTATTCTGTTATATTGCACACTTGTTCCTATTTCTAGTAATATGAATAACTCTTGGTAAATACATAGTCTTTAACTGAGAATTAGATTGCCTATCAAACTGAATGGGGAAAAACAGATTGCTTCAGTATTTTAAATCAGCAATAAAATGGTAACATAAATGAATCTAAATGCTGAAATGTATAACTGTGAATGGTAAAAGTGTGCTTATACATCTTCATCATTTGTACATCATTTGATTCTAATAATACCTACTGACATGATCAATTGAAAATGATCATCAATGTTAATTTCAGAAAGCAAATAGAGTTTGTGAATAAGGTTCATAAAAGAACGCAATTGGTTAAATGTTAAATATGTTAAAATGGACTAGTAAATAGGCTAAGACACGTGCTGTTATTGCACAGCAAAGTACCCCAACTGTTTAGTGAATTCGCTCCGAGTCTTTATTTCTCACTCTACAGGGCTAAAACGCAACTAATTGGCTAAGTAATTAACCATGTAGGTTCTATCCTCAAACGAATGATAAAGAGGAAAGTAGCAGCTCCATTAGAGTGAGCAAAGCTCTGGCTCATTGTGCCAGCTTCACTGGAAATATTGTGTTTCTCTCTGACATGCTGCACAGAAATGGCATTACCTGTGCAGCGAGCCAGAATGCACACTGCACACACACACGCGGGGGGAGGCAGGAAGTTACTATGGAGATATGGAGATGTGACGTAACCGCAGAGACCAGAGGAGAACAGTGACGACATCATGCTCAGATGGACACGGCTAATCGAAACACATCAGTACACGTGCAGAGAATAAAAAATTAAATATGCATGAGATAAAGAATATACTGATGATATAGGCACAAACTCTATCGCTTAAAAAAGAACATTGCTTTTACATTTTACATTAAGTGTCATTGCATGTGAATAACTATAATTCTCCTTAAACATTTATATTAACACAAGAGAGTCTGAGATACTGTGCAGAAGTATTTTAGGAATTTCTAAGTAATGAATGTGAAAGTCTCAGTATGTAGCTGCACCAGAGAGCCCAAGGCACCTCTGCGAGACACCCCATTAAGAGACAGTCCCTCACTGAGATTGAAAATGCACATGTGGTATAAAAATACTTTTGTAACAATCAAGCTTCACACACCTTTTGACCAAAGTAAACTTTCATGACTTTTAAGTTTGAGATTATTATATAAGAATGTATTCATATTTATACAGAGATAAAACATTTTTTATAGTTAATACATTTATAATGTTACACAATATACATATTTTTCCAAATAAATTCTGTTCTTTTGAACTTTCTATGCATCAAATAATCCTGAAAAAATGTATAACAATTTCCAGTATTCTTTTAAATCATACTTTCCCCAGACATTTAAATGGTAGTGTATCATGGTTTTCCCCAAAAAATATTAAGCAGCAAAAACAGTTTTCAACAGTGATAATAATAAGAACCATAATTGCTACTAATAATAATTAATTACAATTGAGAACTAAATATATTGAAAATACTGAAATAGAAAAGTTATTTTAAATTGTAATCATATTTCACAATATTACTGTTTTTACTGTATTTTTAATAAAATAAATGCAGCCTTGGTGAGTATAAGATGCATATATAAGAGATATATATGTGTGTATGTGTGAATAGAAATTGTCGTGCATACAATCTGTCTCGCTGTCTCTATTCCTCTATATATATTTAGTCAAGCATAAATAGAAAAAGTAGTTTAGGTAAGTCTAATGAATAATAAGATTGCAATGTGCTACTGCACCAGCCCAAAGCACGTCTGCACATCATGGGGGTTCTTCATCCCCTTTTTGTTATATCTACAAAGCAAAAAACCTCTAGCATGATGTTAAATGCCCAGACCCTAGAGATAAACATGCCTTAAATACTCAGTGTTTTACAATAAAACAGCATAACAATTTAGCTGAAAGACAAGGACGCATTATGGCAAAGGACCTCTCTCTACAAAGAAAGAGCCATAGGTGCTTGTCCTGATGTTCAAGTAATTTCACAGAAAGCAAACATGACTAAGACAGATTATGCAACTTTACTCTTTTTACTGCAGTGCTATTTCAGGGGAACCTGTTTGCAGATGCAAAATTGTCTTGAATGAGGTCAAATTACAAAATAAACTATACATTAATGGAAAAGTAGGGCGACTTTAGTGTCACTGGATGCACTGTCACCCAACAATAATGCTCATTAAAGATTTACTCAAATATGATACTGTAATGGGCACCATAATTAATGGAAAGGGTCTTATTTACTTCTCAGTAGTATTTTAGTCACTTCTGAGTAATGAATAATAAGGCCT